TTGCTTGTTCATGTATGTTTTGTGTTTGTTGTAAAAATAAAAAAATATTAAAAAAAAAAAGAATATATTATCTCTGCTTCCTTTTCCCCCGCCAAGGTAATTCCTGTAGATATGCTTTCAGGGCCCTTAAACTATCCCAAGAACTGTCCTCAGTCTCTATTTTTACCCATCACTAGTTGACGTTATCCAGCAATCCACATGCTCCTTGACAGTTCAGCAATTATTGTAGACATCCATACTGATAACGAAATTATTCCAAGAAAACATATTAATAGAATAATTGTGTGGGAGGAGAACAGTTCCCAAACAATAGATTAGATCATCTTGAATTTAAAAGAAATAAAACCCAATGTATTTCTTATCCTTCATATATTTATGTTTGGTCATGGGTAGAATTTACCACACGCTGTTCCATTTAAGTCCTCTCAAAATGATATCCTTAAATGGACAAAGATGTTTGTGAGCAATCATTGAGAAGGTTTCACCAACTTCTAATGCGTATTAATAAACCACCACCACACACTAAATTGATTTTTTAATTCACCTTCAGCTTTTTCTCCCTTGAGGATATTCAGACTTTATTATCTGTTTTATATTTGGGAGTAATTAGAAGTATTACCCACAACTAGGTTTTGGCACTTGGGGAATGCATCAACAATTGAACATTTACCACAGACACGATTCCGCTCTATTACTTAAAAAAGAAAAAACAGATGTGAATAGCATTCAAAAACTCCAGTCTTAAGTGCTGCCATGCATTATAGTTTGGTTTTTGTGTGTGTCAACTTTCTTGGTTATACTAAATTCATACTTACAAGTTTCTTGAATCTGTATTAACTTTGGTGGAGCCCTACTGTTTCTTTCTTAAAGTATGTCTTTGAATTTTAGGTCATGATCGGTTGGGAATGCCAGGCATTATTTGTGGGTTTGATGTAGATACATCTTATTTAGCTGGCAACTGTGCTCCATGGATATCAATTCAAGCAGCTTGTTTGAAATCAGGTAATTAAATTATTCCATAGCTAACAGAGGGCTTGGCGCACTAGACAGCTATGCAAAGGTGCTCCTTGCTATGGCTGCTGCCTGTGAATCCACTGGCAGATGAACATCAAGGAGGATTCCCAGATTGTTCTTTAGGAGGCGGGAGGACAATCCTTTCCCAAACTGGCTGAATCTCAATTTTTGAATCCACTTTCCTATTTACCATCAGCACCTCCATCTTGTCTGGATTCAGTTTTAACTTTTTCTGTCTCATCCAGCTGATTATTAAACTTAGGCAACATTCAAGATATCAACTGCTTTTTTGGAACTGGATGGTAACCAGTAAAGACTTGGGTATCATCACCATACTGATATCCCACTCCAGAACTCCAGCTGATCTCCCCCAGTGGTTTCATGTAGATGTTGAAAAACACAGGGAAAAAAATGGAATCCTATGGGAAATCATACATCAATGATTTAGACACTGAAGAGTAGTCCCCCAGCAACAACTTCTGGGCAGAATCTGACAGGTTGGACAGGAACCATTGTAAAATGGTGTCCTCAAGACCCAATCCTATCAGACAGCAGTAAGGGAGAACAGGGGGTCTTCTGCTCTCAGTTGTTTGATCCCATGAAATGATCATTTCAGGGAATTGGAGAACTGGCAGCAAAGTAGCTGTTTCCCCCTCTTTTATCCCCCCCCCCAAACTTTTCCTGCAATCCATGGCAAGAGATGCAGGGGAAGAAGGAGGAAAGTAGGTCTTTTGGGCAGCAGTTCTCCCATCCTGTGGATCACTCTGTGGGATTGGAAAACCCACACCAAAAAGACTTCTTCCCCCCACCACACCCTCTTCATCACGGGGTACAGCAGCTGAAAGTCACTTCCTCCCACTACCCTACACCCAAACAGAAGAGAAAGTAGTTGGAAACATCTACTTAATTGTCATCCCCTGAGGTTAGTGGCCCTAGCCATCTGCAGATTAAGCACTGCAGTACCTAATCTGCAGAAGATGGGTAGACAGCCATTCCCCCCTCTTTCCCTCCTTTGACAGTTCTTCAATCCCACAGACCACCATAAGATAGGAGAACTGGTGAATAAAGAGGTGTTTCCTCCCCCCTTCCCTTTTTCTTGTTATCTGGCAGCCTGGATATTTGTTTTCAGGTCTGGCAAGTCTAGCAGGAGAAATGGGAGAGGTGGGTCTTTCCTACTACAGGACAGCCTTGCTTCTCCTGCTACCAAAAGAAAAATGGTCCTGGAGAACAGTGGCTAAAGATCAAAGGGTATGTGTGTGTGTGTGTGTGTGTGTGTGTGCCCCCAGCAGCATCAGTTGGTCAATAGAAGCAAGGCAAGTCCCCACTCCTAACCTTGCCTCAGTCTGAGGTGCCACAGACAGTCGAAACTATAAGGTTTGTTTTGGCAGAAGATGGAAGGTACCACTGCAGGAAGTGCAGGAAAATATGAGTGCAAGGTGGATCAAGTAAATGGAAACCAAAGTCATTGGTTTCTTCTGGAAAGACTTAGCAATACATCTTCCTGCTGCAATCTGTTAGTAACCTGTGCAGAAGAACCCTAAATCTTCTCCCTTGAACTGCTACTAATCCAAAGACTAGGCACATTTTCCATCTGTGGCTATCGGTATTAACGGGGGAAGCAGTTGGGTCTCTGAAAGAAAATATCAACTCCCTTTCCTGCATGGAATGGCCCCAGTCTAAATCAGAATCCCCTGCAACAGCTTTTAAAGTGGAGATTCCTTTGGGCCAGGGTCACATGTAATTTGATTCTCAGTCTTTCTCCAACAAGCCCTTTCTTGGCAGCATAACATAAGAAAATATGGCAGGGAGCCATTTTCAGTATGTTATGCTGTGGGCAGAAAGATCTGGGTTTTGACAGAGTGGTCTTTTATATTTCTGGTGTATTTTCTTTCCAGAAGAGGTACCACTGCTTCCCCTAAGAGGGAACCGAATAGGAACTACAGCTTCAGAGGAAGAGTTGGAGGCTGCCAAGGAGGTACTGTGGCTCCTGAGCAGAAGAAAACACTAGATAATGGCTCACCCCTTCATTTTACATACTGAAACTGCAGTGCATAACGAAACATTTCTTGACTAATTAGCATTGTGGAAAGGACCTTATGAGAGAACTCTCTGGCTATTATAAAGGATCAAGGAACTGAAGCACAGTAAGGGAGGGGCCCACACTGTGGCAAGAAGTAGCCAGTGATGGAAACGATCTATCCTATTGCTGTTCAGTGATGGAAACGATCTATCCTATTGCTGTTCCTTCTTTTTTGCTTTGCTTTGGCTCCCATTTTTCTCCTCCCGTTTCCTCAAATGTAATCTCCCTGTATCTCTGAGTGCCCTCTTTCCTGTTTCTGTCTAGATTTTTTTCATGTTGTTTCTGTATTCACCTCATGTCTGTTGATCTTTGCTGAGTTTAAGGACAATAATGGGCATGTTTCAGTCTCCTAGCAATTCACACATGGGATCATGCAACGTAAGGCTTGAAAAACAGACGCCAAATTCACGCATTTCTCATTCTGCTGGAAAGAAGTGTAGTGTAGACTTAATAGCTCTAGTCACATCTTCCCTTCCATAAGTTCATTCTGTGCACAGAAGGGGGATGATGCTGAAGCAAGATCATGCCCTGAAATTAACTGAGTGCATCAATGCATAAGAATCTACATGCATACAACTGTAGACTTGTAGATGTCCCTTTACAGAGTGTGCGTTGGACATTCTGATCTCAGGAACGGGATTAACAGAAAGTTTGAGATTTGTCAAAGAGATTTGACAGCGGGCACAGCCCCATTCTGAAACACCTAAAAAGAACTGTGCTACAAATTTTGTCTAAGGAATAACTTTGTTTCACAGAACACTGTTTTGTGCAAGTTCAAAATATTATTTTTCTTTGTAGAAGGTATAGTGATTCTTTTCTTTAAGAAGGTTTGTTTGCCTGTATTTTTCATAATTCTAGTTTCAATATTGTTTTCCACCAATTTATCTAGGAAAATCCCAAAGCTTTGCAAAGTCCTGATTCTTCTGTAGATTTCTTTTAAAAAATGGTAACATTATCAGTCATCCAATCTTACACTAAGAAGGCCATATTTCCAACAAGTTTCAGGTCAACACTGACCAATTTTGCACTGAATTTAACCATTCTCAGTAAATGCTTTTTGTAGAGTAAGACTTTTTGTATTTTATAGCTTTCTTGGTTTAGCTTGTTGACCAGTGAAACCTCTTGACAAGTTAAATGTATGCAGGCCTGTATATTATATTTCATAATTCTTTAATTACTACAGCTTCAAGCCAGGCTCAACAATGCAATAAAATAATTTCCTAACATAACATAATACTAACTTGGTCCTATTAGTTATTGTTCTTTTAAAGAAAGTTGATAAAACATTAGAACTTTTGTGCCTCAAAGATAAGAAGTTTAGGTAGTACTGTTCCTATATTTATGATATTCTCAAAACTGTTTTGGAATCTTTAAAACTGACCAATAAATGCAGATGCACTGCAATTTGAATCATGTAGAGAAATGTGTTTTTGAAACAATAATGGCAAAACAAAAAGCTAAAATATATAGGATTGACTTATTAGTTCAATTATATTAAAATAATTCTAAATAAAATTGTTGACACAAAGACAAATAAGTAATGCTTATTTTCAGATGAAGTCACATGAATGGACTGTTTTGGTTCCTGTATCAGAAACAAAATCAGGAAATCTTGATACTGGCCATAACTATTTTTTTGTGAATTCAAAGCAAAGGTGGACTCATCTAAGATTCAACTTATATCCTGGTAAGACCTATGTAAGATGTGAATCAAAAGGCATTTGGCTGTCTGTTTCATTCAGTCCTATTCATGAATAGTGTTAATGAACATAATTATGGGCACTAAAAAGAGATAAAAATCTTCCTTTAGATTGAAGTTTTAGATTAATGTTTCCTTTATTTTACACTTATGTGTGTGATCTTGTACACATGCATGTAAATATGTCTTGCTCTTAGACAAAACTGCTGGGATAATTCCTACCTTACTATGAGATTTAATGGAATTTTGAATAAAATGAAACAGAGCATATGTTTGTGTTCTTAACAAAATTATGAATAAGTGGATCTCTTTTCTGTAATTATGAAATAATTGGTTCTGTCTGTATGTCATATTTTCAGTAATAAACCAGCAATAGAATTTTAATTTTAATGTCAAATCCAAGTAAGTGTATTACCTATAATTATTGATTACAAACCATACAATTAAGCGTCATGAAGATTGAACACATTTAAATGCAAATTTATATAAATCCTAAAAGGTGATATAAAGTATGCAAATGTTTGTATCAGTTGCAAGAGCTATCAAGTAAATTGATCTCCTGCGTAGCTAGTATATTTTCCAGTTCTTTCTTTCAGATGATGGTTTCCTATAAAGGTCTATAAATAGTGAAACTGTTAGGATGCTTCATATGGGTGTTCTGTAGTTGCATTCTGCAGTGGGATCCTTGACTCGATGTCATGTGCAAGACTGAACTTAATGTTGCCATTTCATTTTCAAGAATGGTATCATGGGTGCTTTGATTTATTCTAATGTAAACTCACATTTCATTTAATCAGTGCACTGATTAATGAATGCAGTTGAATTCTATTGTAGTATTTATACAGTATTTGTATATTTAATGTGGTTTTATCTTCTTTTTTGGTATTCTTTACAGTATATTGTTAGCTGCCTTGAGAATTCTATAAATAGAAAAATCAGACATTAATTGATTATTTTTCTTTTCCTGCAGATGGTGGAATTGCACGTTTAAAAGTATATGGTACAATGTTGAAAGACTGGTCACTTTGTGGCCTGAATCACTTGAATGACTTGGTAGCAACAGTGAATGGAGGAATTTGTATTGGATATAGTGATGCTCAACTGGGTCACCCCCAAAATATCATAGGCAAGAGCAAGAATGGACATGGTTGAAGGCTATTTTTTTAGATTTCATTTAATCCAACTACTACAGCATAGTATGGTAATCAAAGAACCATGAATCATGAAAACCATTCCTCAAAACACTAGTGTTGTTGTTCACACGTAGTACATTACTGTAAATGAAACATTTATTTATGTTAATTATGCTTGTGTTTGGCTCCCAGTAAACACAGCTGAGATGAACAGGCTCTGGGCAGAGGTAGTATTTGGTTAATTCATTCTGTTTTTTCTGAGAAAACCATTATTTTGCTAAACAAGACTTCTTTGATTGTTTAAAATTGACTTCTCCAGTTTATAAATGTACTGGAAAAGCAAGACTGTACATGTTGGATATAAATGTTCAGATACATTGCTTTTATGCTCTTCAATTTTCTTGAAGACATTCAGGTTCCATCTGATAATGATTTGTGGTGGTGTTTTTAAGCAAATATTTATAAGTTGCAATTGAAAATACAGAAGTTGACCACAGGGAAAATGTGGAAGATCCATACAGTACTAGCTCAGTGTTTCCTAAGTCAGCAGGACTTTGTAGGAATTAAAGTCTAACAGATTCGAAGGGTACAAGATTGGAGAGGCTGTACAAGTCATTTACAGAAAAGGAGTTACAGGGAATCCCAGAGTTAAGAACGCCCAGTTTAAGGACGATCCATAGTTAAGAATGGAGCCTACTGTAGCAAAATTGAAATTAAATACACAATGATTCAAATTAAATACACAATGGTTCAAGTTAATTATACAATATTACTGTTCCGTCTTACATACAAATTCAACATAAGGACAGACATTGGAAATGGAACTTGTTCTTAAACTGGGGACTACCTGTATTAAAAATATGACAACTTTGGGATCCTCATGCTTTTCATTGTAGCTTTTTATCACCAACTTTAAAACACACTAAAACTTACTGTCATGCAAAATGAAAGTGCAGAAAGCATAAAAGAATAGAGTGAAAATCATACCTAAATGAAAGATTGTGTTAGACAAATGCAGTTAAATAAGACGCTAATGTATATATACTTAATATATGAAACAATCAAGTATAATTTGACATTAAACTAATTTCTAAGACTATATTTATATATTGATTAATAAAGACCTGCTTCTGATTAATTGTCCAACATTTACATAGAAATAAGAATGCTTCTTTTAAGGTATTGTTTTATGATTCAAGCTTATTATGATCTAAGGCATGACTTCAAATAGCATATCCAAGAATTTGATGCACTGGATAAAATGTTTGATTATTTCTGTAAGCAACAGATCCATATGCCATATCTCAAAAAATCCCCTTCAAAATCCATGGTTTCAAAAGATCCATCATATGGGCAATTTAATGCAGACAAATCCATAGCCTCCTTGGATATGCAGAGCTAATTGTGGGCTCTTCAGGATCTAGGAACAGGAAAATATAATTCTTCTGCAAAAGTTTCTGCAACATTTATTTATATACAAGTTTAATTAAACTAAATAGTAATCAACTGATCACAACTATATCAGTAGGCAGTTAAGCTTAATGGCTCTGTTAAATGAAGAAAAAATCTCTCCCTTCCAAACAAATTAAAATAATTGCAGATGATATGTAAAGGTGAGCAAACTCTCAGATCCAAAATGTCATTTCTGTAAAATAGTTTGGCTCAGATCTCATGAGATTGCCAAATCCTGAATGACTGTGGCAATTTCATCTCAAAATTGTATAAAATATGTAAGAATGTCAAAATCTGGCAAGATTTCATCATTTTTTTCTTAAAAACATTTTAATTTAATGTTATCAAATTGTGGGTGCTGTTCTGGTTGACCTTGGCAACTTCAAGTACTGTGCTGCTCACCCCTAGTTTACACTTTTGAATTCTTTTGTATTGGCATAGGAATAGGAAAAGCAAAGTCCATGAAAGATGGATGGGAAACGAGAAGAAATTTGGAAAGACCACCAATTTTAAAAGTAAGAATTCGTCAGTTACAATTAACAGCTTATTACTAAATACAGTGGTACCTCAGGTCACGAACGCTTCTGTTCACGAACAATTTGGGTCACGAACAGCTCCATTCGCAAAATTTTGCTTCCGTTCGCGAACGCCGGATCGGGTGACGAACAGGATCCACAGCCATTTTCCCTGCCGTGACACGTTGTCATGGCTTCCTGTAGGGAGGGGGACTCTCCCTCCAAGCAATAACCGCCTCCCCACTCGCCTTCCTGTCTTCCACACCAGAAGTCACGTCGAGCAAGGTTAGCTGTCTCTCTCTTCGTGCTGTACTTT